ATTCTTCTTCAACAATGCGCATGTGTAATGCAAGGGAAAGGAAAAAAGAATAAAAAGGCAGAGAAGAAAGAGCAAAGAAATTAGCCTTAGGAAGGCAGAGGGGAAAAGAAACTGTTTGTGTGAATATGGGCCACAAGAAGATAATACTCCCTTCCACTTTTTATATATGGAGATTTTGTGCATGCAGTCGTAGTGGGATCCGGTTGCCCCAATCAAAACAACAATAACAACCAACAAGGAACATATATATATATATATATACGCATTATATATATTATATATCCCTTCATTCTCTCTTTTTCTTCGTTTTTCTTCTGCTTATAAATACCTCTTTTTTTTTTTTTAAATACTTTCTTTCCCTTTTTCATTTTTATTTTTCATGTCACCATTTTCTTTTTTTTTTATGCTTGCTTTAATCGCTTCTAAAAGAAACGCCACAATTTCCCACCACCACCACCCGCAGCATCAGCAGCAGCAGCAGAGAAAGGCATATATACACATACGTCGGGTTATATATGCCTGCCCGTTGAATACCCTCCTTCCATGCGTCATTCATTCATGACTTGCGCTCCTTCTTCACAGAGGGTGCATGAATTGTCGATTCACTGCCTGTTGCAGCTGTCCGCTTTTTCGCCATCCTCTCTTTTTGGCTGCTTTCAATTGCAGATGACCAATGCGTCGCCAGTCGTGCCTGTGTCTTCTTCAGGTATCCATCTGCCTCCTCCACCAACAGAAGTGCCCTGTCTTTTGTGGTTGCGTCCTCCCTGGTTCCACCACCAGCGGCGGTTGTGGCGGGGACTGCCGCATTTGGAGGGTTGTCAAACATGAAGAAATGGCGTTCGTATAGTACGGGTTGACGGCGTGAAACAGCAGCGCTGAGGGCTTTAAAAACGGCAACTTCACCATCTTTTTGGGTTCCACTTGGTCCATTCTTCTGTAGGAGAAGATGCAAATGGCCTGCTCGCATGGCCCGTGCTGTACGACCAGCGCGGTGAACATACTGCGCAAGCGTCTCCGGCGGGTTGTACATAATGACATGGCCCACGTTAGGTACGTCCACCCCCCGCATCAAAGCATCCGACGCGACGATGCATGCATCCGGTGACGATTTAAGAAGTGCACGCCGCCGTTCACTCTCGGTCGAAAGGGTCGTGAACTCCGTCGCCTTTACGCCAGCAGAAAGAAGAAAATGACCCATAACACGCGCCTCCTCCGCTGTACGACAAAAGACAAGGATGCGTTTACCGGCATCGTCGCTGCACGACGGATATTCGCTAGGCGATGACATAGTTACTGTAGACGCACGTCGCTTATGACGTCGATAACCAAGAGCACGGAATTCCACCTCGTTCTCTTCGTCTCTCAGAATACCATCTTCTTCTGGATTCACGCCATGCCCATCACCACCGGCAGAAGCATCGCCATTGACGTCATTGCCTTTGTTGTTGTTTCCACGCGGCGAGATGGCCCCTGCCGGTGCGCAGCCCGTACTTTGCTTCGCAATAATGGCTCGGACGAGCTTCAACAAAACAGCATGGCGATACCAGTCTTCCACAAAAACGACATGTTCCTGCAGTTTTGGAGGAAGTGCAAAGGAAGTACGTACCAGTTGTTGGCGTGAAATGGGCAAAGCTGCCACTGGATCATCGTTTTCTTCATCGCTATCTTGTTGCCCCTTGTCCCCATCCTTGGCGCCACGACGCCTCTTCCCTCTTGTCCTCGTGTCATTGGTCAATGGGAGCGGCTCACCCTCATCACCCCGGTGAATGTCACTGCCAAAACTATCCAACGCAAAGTGACGACAGTTCCGTAGCCGCACCTCCGAGATGCGAGCAATGTGCGAGGAAAGGGTCGCAGAACAGAGCATCTTGTGTAGATTGTACTTCAACTGCACAAGGCGACGCGTTCCACCCACACTCCCTACACGCGTCGCCTGTTCCCCTTCAAAGCGCTCCACCACTTTTGCTACAAAATTGGAAAAATTCCCAGCAAGGACTTGATCCGCCTCATCAATAACCAGAAAACGCAGGTCGGCAAGAGAGAGTCCAGGCGTACCGTCAAGATGGCGCAGCAGACGCTGTGGCGTCGCGACCAAAATATCAACACGGGAGTAGTAGTAATGCAGCCGAGAGGATGCCCGCGCAACATCATCACTGGTGGAATCATCAACAGCGGCATCATGATCACAGTCACCGTACACATCACCAGAGCTGGGCTTTTCTGCATCACCTGGGAGAGGCATGCTGTTTACGACGGTGACGAAGCGCACAATGGATTCTGCTTCTTCCTTCACACTAATATCCCCTTTGCAGAGCGATTCCACAGCGATGGATGTGCCACGGGTAAGCTGCTGCAATTCGCGAAATACTTGCATGCCAAGGGCTTTCGTTGGCACCAGCACCAATGCCCGGAGGCGTGTGTGGTCCACACCCTTCTTGCAATCTGTAACCAGGTGCAGCATGGGCAGCAGGTAGCAGAGTGTTTTTCCACTGCCAGTGGGGGCGGTGAGACAAAAATCCATAGGAATCCCGCTCAATAACGCACGCTGAACTACTGGGATCACGGCCTGTTGCACTGGCAACGGTTTCTCGTAGTTTAACTGCTGCTGCAGAGTGCTGAAAAGCCATGCATTACTCTCCCCGATGCATTTGTCCCACCCATCTGTCATCGCCCAATAACACCGTCCCGTCCCCCTCCCGGCGGTGCGGTCCCCTTTAATTTCCGTTAGATTGCTGCCGCTATCACCCTCTGCCTGCCTTGTTACCGGCACACACCCAAAGGTGCCAACGCAGTACGGCGTTTACAAGAGAGAAGAAAAAAAAGAGTTTAAAAAAAGGGTGAGGCAGTCCAATTAAGTGGCATGCACGCACACACACACAAAAAAAATCATTTCCACAACAATCCACGCACCTCATGGTTGAGCAGTTTTCCCCTCCCCAGAAAATCAGTCCCTCACCTGTCTTGCACTGTGTTCGTCAGTGCTTACCATATGATGGCTTCTTCTCATTGTTCAATGTGGCAAACTCGCTTCACTTCATCTTATTCTCCGCCCCTCACCGTCTTCTTTTTTTCTGTGTTTCCCTTTTCTCTGTGTCTACAAACTACAAATGCGCAAAGTGGTACTCATCGGCCAACTTCTCAAAGACAAAAAGATTCTTCTCCGATGCGAGTCGTAGAAGAGTCCGTCGGCACCCGTCATCCGTCCCAACCGGCCGCTTGACAGCCATGAAGTGCAGCCGCTGGTGTGCCAAACGCACCGCCTGACCCACGTCGCTATTGCCGCACATTTTTGTATAAAGCGGGCTGCTAAAGAAATCCCGCATGAGCGCGCGTTCTGTGATGGTCTTCCCTGTAGCCGTCTCGTGCACCGTCAACAGTGCGGCTACTCTAGCCCCCACGTCATTTGCCTTCCTCGAAAGGAGTAGGCCGTCAAAAACCACCGCGGATATGGGCAACTTGCGTGAAAACACTGGCACGTCGCGTTCCTCCGGTGAAATGTGTTCCGCAAAAAATTCGCACACGGCCTGTCGATCTGCACAACCATTCGCGAGACGATGCGTCAGGCCCTGTGGGTCCCTGCGGTCCTCAATTGTGAAGGGGGAATTGGCACTTGCACATATACCTTGCATTGCTGCAAATGCCTCTATGTCTGTGCAGAGCAATGGAAGAAGCTTGTAGTGAAAGTGCGGCTGATGAATCGCCTTGAGTTTCTCAAAGTCTGTCACAATGACATCACGTGGCAGACGTGACGATAAGGAGGAGGTGGCAGCCATGTGAGTCATGAGCACAATGCGCCGAAGTTTGTAACCACTAAAGACTTCATCAAAGACATTCTCGCGGGTAACGTCTCCAGAGACTTGATGGATTAACAGCGGAATCATGTGCTTGTGACGCTTCTTAATAAGCGATGCGTACACATCGCGTTGCATTCTCTCTATTTACCTCAGATCACAACCTCCTTCACCACAACCCTCGTGTGTAAAGCAGAAAAAGAAAAAAAAAACAAAACAATGTATACATGCAGGTATAAATATATCAAAATTGTGTGCCGCAAAAAACAGTCTCCAGAACTAGGACACATCTATGGATACCTCCACGCAATCTCCTTCCCTTTCTTACTCTCTTCATTTCATGTTTTCTCCAGCATACACAAAGACACAGAGACGCACGCCACAGAATAGAAGTGTAGGTGGTTGCATGCATGCATGTATGTATACGTGTGTATTTGTGCGCCAAAGCAAATAAAAGGTGGATATATATATATATATATATATATGTGCTGAGCCAAAACCATAGGAACACCATCATAACCACCTTCTCCATGAAACATACTCCCTTTCCCCCCTCCAAACACACACACACACACACACACACACAAACACACAATTGTTATTTCACTCCTTCTCCTCCTTTTAAATATCGCCTCACTTTTTATTTACCCGCACCCCACTTTCTCTATAAAGATACAACTTACTACATTGAGACATGTGGAAAAAGCGCCTATTTGTGTGTGCGTATGTGTGTAACAAATTCATGTGCACTTCATCAGAATAACAAATAAAAGAAAAACAAAAGAAATAAAGACACCATCTTGTTCTATGTATAGATGTTAGGTGACATCATCATCATCATCATCATCACCGTTGCTCCTTTTATTCCAACGTAACAAGCAGCAACACCACTCGCCTCGGATGAAATCGTTTCATGATGCAAACCAGCAACAAAAAAGCGGAAACGAAGCCGCATGGACGGAGCAGTGGCATACGCAGACTTCGTTTCTCCCTGCCTTTTCACCCATAATTTCTCCCTCTCTCCATCTCGCAGCCCCACAGCTCGACCCTCTTCCCCATTCCGTTACTTGGAAACATTCTCGTAGCCACGCATGGATGGCAGGAGACTACGACGCATACCACCACTACGAAAAATGTGCTGATGCAACAACGCCACATTTATAGCACGTGGTCTACTTACAAATAACTTCTGTCGCTTCTTCGCCAAGTGCTTCTTATACGTTGCCTGCTGATCTGCCCGAAGATCGTTCCATGACTTTGCTCTGTTGTCAAGCAATGGCCCGTCCAGATCCACGGTTTCCGGACTGTTAACATCGCTCTTTGTAAGCTCACGCAACATCATGCTTGGGTAGACACTAGATGGCAGCTCAAAAGACAAATCAAGACATGCCTCATTCTTTTTGGAAAGCCAATACGGTGCAGGAGGTGTACCACGCCGCCGTCGGACATTCCCGTAGCCACTCCTTCCACCCAAAAGACTGTGACCAATAAACAATTGTTGCTGTTGTTGTTTCTGGTGGTGATTATTGTGAGTATTGTTCTCCGTCACAGACAATATGTCTCTATGGGGCTGTGCAAAGGCTTGTCGCACTCCGAGTGCCCACCGCTGATGCGGATCACTAGCGCGGTCCAATTGCATCTGCCAGCGCAACGTTGGTGACGGATTCATTAATACATGACGATAAAAGCCAAAGACACTAACGCCCAAAGGATTTCCAGGCAACTCTCCTTGACGCAGGTCTTTCCTCAGTTGACTGGCATCCATTGGTGTGGTTGCTCCTGTTGTCCACAAACCCGGATCATCCCCTGCCTCATTGTCTCGGCCATCAATAGGCTCGACAATGGTTGTATTGTTACCCAACTCTTCTTCCATCAGCGCAAAGGAGGACGAAAAACGATGGTACGGCGATGATATCCCAGCCACACGTTGACCGGAGCTTTCACCATTAAAGCTACGCCTGGGACGAAAAATGTCCCATTGTTTGCTCTCTGGGTTAAACAAAATGCCCATGCGTTGCAGTGTAACGATGTACAGATCCGTTGTGTGATTCTCCGGTAACCGTATCCCCACACCAGGAAGAGGCAACACCACGTCCGAAAAGGTATACTTACCCTTGTCGATGCCACTCTTTGACGCAAAGACAACGTTTTGATACTCTTTTGAATGGGGTGAAGCCAATGGGTTTCGACGCACAAGATCACCCGGAAGAACCGCAAATGTCCCGTAGCGCTGAAAGCGTTGATTGACAATATC